CTGTGAGGTTTGTGACCGCCCTGGGGGCCAGGGGTGCCCCAGGGGAAGGGATCCGTCCCCTGGGCTGTCCCTCACCACGGGCACACAGGGGAATCCCTTCCAGCTGCTGCTCACCGGGGCACAGCAGGGCCGAGGGACACGCGGTCAGGCTGGTCATATCCCGAGTCCTTCTCCCCCACCATGTGCACTGATCAAAGGCACTGCATGGAGCAGGAGGGATACAGCTTCACATAATGGAAAGTGAATTTCTGCTTAAAAAAGAAAAGGCGCTGCTTTGCCAAAACACTCAGCATTCTGCGCACACATTAACCTGATTACGGGAGGAAGGGGGGCTTTTCCTTGTCTCTGCCCTGCTAATAATTTTCTGTCAATTTTGATTTGGCTTTAACCTCCCTCCAACCCCTGGTGTGCCTGGCTCGCCAGTGCGGCGGCATCAAGGGGTGCCAGAGAGCTGCCCCGTGCCTTGGCCATGGCAGGGTTTACCCCCTACTGACCTGCTTCCAGCTGAGACCCACCACCTCTGGAGACAGGAGCGCGTTGGAGGATGCTCCTGAAAACCCGTGGGAAAGGGGGGAACAACTGGGCACACCTTCTCCAGGAAGCCCACCTGCCCCACGTGTGCAGGACCCTGCAAAATAGGACACAGAGACCAAACTAGCAAAAGTTCAGAAAACACCGGTGATCCCCAAAGCCACGACTCAAACCCACGCAAGCTCCAGCCCCTCCTTCAGTCCCTGGTCGGCTCCCTGCCATGGCAGCGGGCTGGCTGGGGAGCAGCAAGGCCCCGGTGACCCACAGGCCCACGTCGCGTGGCGGGCAGCCAGGGGTCCGCAGCCTGGCCCTGCATGTGGGGAGGACAGGCCCCCGGCCGCAGGGCACACGGCTGCTGGCTGCAGCTAGAGCCTGGCCAGCCCTGCAAGAGCTGCTTCTTGCATTGCGTGTGCCCAGGCACGCCAGGGTGGTGGCACAGGGCTGGGGCCAGCCCCCACCGGTGCCAGCCCAGCAGCAGCTGGAGGGGACGGGCTGCTCTGCCTGGACACAGGCAGGAGGAAACCCCGTGGACCAGGGATGGTGACACCCAGCAGTGCAGCATCGCTGGGGTTGGCACCGGTGGCTCTGTGCATGTGCACGTGTGTGCGTATCTGCACGTGTGTGCCCAGCCCAGCCGGCAGTGGTTTGGCAGAGAATCCCCTCCCCCATGCTGAGAAAAGGCCCTTTTTTGCTGTGACAATTCAATATAATTGAAAGTTTGCTTAGGAAAGAGAGTCTTTTTAACTGAACATGCTCACAGCTGAATCGATATGAATTATACGGCACAGAAGATGCCTAGGGTATTAAAACATTAATTAAGTAACATCATGCTACCATCTAACCAACAGCACAATACCATTTATAGGTACTGCTATCTTTTCTCTGGGGCGCAGTGTGAAGTCTCTCTTCCATCACCGCAGAGGCCGCGGGAGACTCGGAGCACCGCCGGCTGCAGCTCCTCCGCAGCTCGGGCTGGTGCCTTCCCTTGGGGCGGCCGCGGCTGCTGCGGCTGGGCGGGACGGCGGGCATGGACCGGTGCCCCCCAGCCCAGCGGTCCCACTCCTGGCCCCGGCAGGCACATGGAAGGACCCCCGTGGGTGCGGGGCTTTGTCTGTCTTTTCTGCGGTGCCACCGAGCCACTGCCACCTGCGCCCTGCCGGTGGGTAGGGGGGACCAGCCGCCAGAGCCAGCCCTGTGTAGCCCTGCCAAGGAGCCGCGTCCTCGACCCGCGGATGGTGCCAGCACCTCTGCGCTGAGCTGCCGCCTGCGGAGCCGAGCGGAGGCAGTGCCCACGCCGCTGTAGTTGGATTAGCTCACCACATCAGCCCGGGGAACTAATGCACCGATTCTGCAATATACCAAAATAGAAAGTCATTGGAGTGAAATCAGTGTCTTCACCACATCCCCTCTGGCAGAGCGTTAATTAAAATGACTCTCTAGTGCTTTAGATCATCAGGTGTACATTGTTAACGAGCTTGGAGGAGAGAATGGGCTCCACATTTGTAGTTTAAGCGCTGATGGAGTTAACCCTTCACCACTGCTGGCACAGCCTGAGCCTGGTGGCAGTTTCTCAGAGCATCCATCTGCATTAGAGAAGTCGGCTCTCTTAGCAGACTTCAGATGTCATTTAGCAAAGATGTTAACGTGGGACCCTGCTCGGTTCAGCAGAGGCCTGGCTGGAAAAGTGACGTGGCTGCAGCCGCTGGTCTCAGGAGAGGGGGCCTGTGCCCAGCCCGAGCTCCCCGTGGGCTTCTGTGACCACAGCGGGGGCTGCAGGGCCGGCTGCCTCACGGACTGAACTTGCCCTGTGCTGCAGCAGGTCTCCTGCAGCAAACCTGGACATGGCAGGGAGGCGTCCCACAGCGCAGAGCAAAACTGGTCTCACTGGAAGCTGGCAGCTGGCAAGGTTTCGGGGTTCCTTTTGGCCTTGTTTTAGTCCCAGTGATCTGCCGCTTCATGCCCCGGACACCTTTACGAATGCAGCTCTTCTGTCACTTGGTGGCATTGAAAATGTGTCCTTGATGCCTCACCTGGATGCCGGGGAGCTGGCAGCACTGGCCATGGCATTGAGGTGGCAGCGAGGGAGGGAAGCCGGTACCCACGGCTGCTGGCACAGGAACGGACCGTCTGTAGCTCTGACCTGTGTGTGCACACTGGGCTGCCTGGTGGCATCGCCGTGCCTGTCCCCCGCCCTGGCACCCCCCTGGAGCCAACGGTGCTGCCTGGAGGCAGCGCTGCACCCAAGGGGACGCGGGGCCAGGGCGAAGGGCTCAGCCACTGGCTGGGCAGCCCAGGAGCAGGGTGGCTCAGCGCCGGCACGGAGCAGCCCACAGCTGCCGCGGCGTCCGGCAGGGCTGTGCGCCAGGAACGGGTGCAGGAGGGAGAGCATCTCCGAAGGCATCCTCCGTCCGTGGCCTCCGAGTGCCGCAGGGACCTGCCTGTCAGGCGGGATGTGGTTTGCACCGGTGTCCGGCTCCTGCACCCAGTGCCCATGCTGGCCCCGTGCCCGGGCTGCTGGCAGGGCTCGTGTGCCAGTCTCACCTCCACTGTATGCCCAGGTGGGATCCCCTGTGGAAAAGCTGGTTGGGAACAATGGGGAGACCAGCAGCGTTTCCTCCTCTGGTGTCAGCACACGCCGGGCGTCCCGTGGCATCGCATGCTGGGCTGTGACACGGGGACCGCCTGGGCCACCCCCCCCGGGGGCAGCTGGCCGAAGCCCCTGCTCCTGCTGCATCAACGACAGCAACACACAGGCTGCACCCAAGGGCAGTGGCACCTCCAGCGGGGAACTCTGCTCCAAACCCATTGGCAAGGTTACTGTCTGTAGTGGACACCTGATCACTGCTCTGTTTTTATAAATAGGTATTTTTTGGCCTGTAAGAGTGTACTTGTAAGAGCTAAATCTTTTCCTTATCTTTTAGGTGATGGCAGTGAAAGGTTATTAAAAAATCACTCCCGGTCTCCTCTTACCAGAATCACAGCATGGAAAACCCTTTTTATTTCTGTCAGAGGTTTGCACAATTTCCGCTGATGCACTGCTCTGAGCAGAGAGGCTCTTGCAGAGGTTTTTAGTTTGCAGCTTGTGCAGCTACTAGAGGCCATTTACACCTTTCTGAGCATTAGAAAGGTGCTTTCTCAAGCGTAGCTGTTTTAAACTGGAATTCAACCCAGGAATAAACAGCAACGTTACATAATAAACTTACAAAACTGCAGGTCTGTGAACAACAGTGAAGTCATTAACGCGGCACAGTGCAAACACCGGTGGAAGGGTTGCGCTGGTGACCCCATTACTGCTGCAGTCCCGTCTGCTTGTGGAAAACACAGAATGGATTTTTTTTTCCCCTTTAAAAAAAACCCAAACAGCTAAGAGGCAATCCAGATCCCCACCTGTTTAGGCTCACACCAGAAGAGCAACACCTGAGCCTGGGACAGGACCAGACAGCCCAGCCCGTGGAGAGTTTTGGGGTACTGAGTTGCAGAATGTGTTCGGGTGCAATCATCCTCACCATTTCAGTTGCCAAAGCGCAGGATCTTGTCTTTCAGGGCTCCACACTGGGGCCAGGGCCTGGCTGGCTTGGTCTGGTTACGCCATAGCACCAGAAGTCATCAGGGGTTTGGCAATTTTCACCTGCTTTATTTCATAATTCATGTATTTTTGGAGCCGGAATCAGTACGAGTGTTGGTTTTCCTTTTTTCTCATGAAGGTGCATCAGCAACCTGATTATTAAACTTACTGGCTCGCAAGTGAATGTCCTGACCCAATTAATTGAAGAACGCTCCCGCTCCCACTCCCTGGCTAGCGGCAAGATTTTTTCCCCACGACCTCTGCTCCAACCGGACGACACTGCAGAGCTCAGGCGTCCGCTCCCCAGGGGGGGAGAGGAAGCCCCACGCTGTCAGGGAGGTGGCAGAGCGGCCAAGGACACCCGTACGTACCAAACAGACTGCTCATCCCACCTGCAATGTTGGGTTGGTTCTTTTTTTTTTTTTTAAATTATTTATTGCTGCAGTTATAAATTAGAGATGAACAGTAGCCCCCAAGGCTCTCTTTTGGATGTGGTCCGTATTAATGAATTTCAAGCATTTTCTGCTGCAAGTGGCAATTTTTGGTAAGAGAATTGTGTATTTAACACTCAGCAGTTCATCAAGTTATCCTCCCCGCTCAAGAGGCACTGCAAGCAAAGGGAAGAGCAGTGAGTCAGCCACTTACCTTTCTTACCTTCATCTCCTTTAGGTTTGATCAGTAGAAGAAAACAGATGGCGATTTTAGTTCACTTACTTCTAGTTTACAGGTTTCAAGATGACCTCAACCCATAAAGGCATCATGCTTTCCCTTCAACCATTAATTACAGCAGTGTGCCCAGAATTCTTATACAATCATTTAGTAAAATTAAATGCACTTATAATGTCTTTTTCATACACAATGCAACCCGAAGCCATAACATGAATCTCGCTACTTGGCTCATTACTTCCACTTTAATGTTAATTCGCAGCATCAGCCCGGGCGCGCTCACACCGACGGGCACCCAGGCGCCCGCCTGCGGGGAGGGACG